CACACACACACACACACACACCAGACACACGTCAGCAGCGTCTTACGTCAGCAGCGGCACTGAACGCGGATCCACAACAGAACCAGAATACACACACACACACACACACCAGACACACGTCAGCAGCGTCTTACGTCAGCAGCGGCACTGAACGCGGATCCACAACAGAACCAGAATACACACACACACACACACACACACACACACACCAGACACACGTCAGCAGCGTCTTACGTCAGCGGCGGCACTGAACGCGGATCCACGACAGAACCGGAAGACAATACAATGCTGAATAAAGTCCTAGTTTTTGTTATTTTTGGAGCAAAATGTATTTTCGATGCTTCAACACACTCTAACTAACCCACTGATGTCACATGGACTACTTTGATGATGTCTTTATTTCCTTTCTGGACAAGGACAGTATACCGTACACACATTTACAATGGAGGGACAGAAAGCTCTCGGACTAAATCTAAAATATCTTAAACTGTGTTCTGAAGATGAACGGAGGTCTGACGGGCTTGGGACGACATGAGGGAGAGTCATTAATGACATAATTTTCATTTTTGGGTGAACTAACCCTTTAAGGTGTTGTTTTATTACTTTGTTCACCCATTTTCCTAATTTGTATTGTCCCTGTGTTCCCCTCTGAAGGCTCGTCATCACGCCCCGATCCCTCCAGAGTGAGCACTTCGACGGGATGAAAACTGTTCCTGGGAATGCACTTCTGTGTCATCTTGCCTGTGCAAAGAATCATGGGAGCAAAGTGTCCATCACTGATAAATCATCCATTCTGAAGGGCCCTTTGAGCACTAACACGAACTCCATACGCAAATCCATTTTTATAACCTGTCAAAACCATATTTAAGGGCGTTTTCACACCTGAAAGTCCGCACCAAGGTCTGACGTTCACGTTTTGATACATTTGATACTTTCAGAAAGTTTTGGTTTGGTTTCACACTGGAATTACGCGAGCGCACTAAAGACCTTTACGTGACACACCCGCGTCCTGTCGTCATCATCTGTGTGGGCTGCATCTTCACATTGATTGGTTTGTAAATGGACGTGTGTGTGACGTCAGCGTGTCGTCAATTCGGCGGGTAACTTTGACAACATGAATGAACAGACGCATATCTCATATCCTCTCTCTCTCATCCTCTCCGAAAATATTTGGAAAGTGTCTGCATTTTTGTGCGTTTTTTCCAGTTGACTTCTTATTATGTCATCAGACCATACTTGAAGTAAAAACCTGGTCTCCTCCTCTCCCCATGTGCCACGGCTCATTTCTCCTGACACCTTCTGTTTTTCCGGCTATGCGGGAACCACCGGAGCTTCCTGTAAAAGGTCTGAAAGTCCGAACCATACAGAAATGCTTTCACACTAGAAACGAACCAACCCTTTGTTCAGTTTGATCCGGACCGAGACTTCCTCTTTTCGGCGGACCAAATTTCATCTGTTTGGTGCGGACCGTGGTGCGGGGGAGGTTTCACACCTGTCATTTTGATTCGGACCAAACTGAAAAGTCTGAAAGTCCGAACCAAACAAGGTAGGTGTGAAAGGGCCCTAAGACATCGTGAGGACCCAGAGAAACCCTGAATTAAACATATTAACAGAATAAACAGAAATATGATCCTAAACGTGTGAATGTGTCAGGGAACGCTTTAGCACTTCAGAAGCGGAACAAACATTTCATTATGATGATTTTGCACAAACGTTTGAGACTGCGGGTGCGTCCCAATTCACGTACTCATGCATATTCTGTGAAGTTTCGTAGTATTATTAGTGCACGTAGTGTGTTCACACTGAAAATTACAAATTGAAAAAGTACAGATGATGCTTATTAACAGAAAAACCAGACTCTGATGTTGATTGACAAAATAACCTTATAAAGTTCATGCACTACACGGTATAGTGCATAAGTGCTAGTGTGTCATTTAGGACACCGCTTGCATTTTTGTTTTAAAATCTAGTAAAAAAATAAACAAACCAAAGAAACAACAGAACAACGCTAAATCAAATTAGACTTACAATAAACTGAAAATTGGAAGACAGAAACTTTATCTGACACAGAATCTGCTCTATTTCTTGGTCAACAATCAAATGTCATTTCTATAGCGTTTTATATATACAATACATATTGTTTCAAAGCAGCTTTATAGTGATAACAGGAAAATAACTATTCAATGATGCAAACAGAGTTAATTTCAGCTATAAAGCAGCTTTTCATAAGCTAAATTGAGATCTCATCCAATAATGTCAGTGTAGTCAAATCAGTAATATTGCTGAATATTAATGAATATTAAGTGTGAATATTAATGTAACCATATTGTGTCAACGAGAACATCATAATCATGTTTTGTTCATGTCAGCTCCAGTGCTCAGCTCCAATTTTCAGTCTAAAAAAATTGAATTTGTAATTTCATATGCAGACATATAAACAACATAATATAAATAATACGATTTTGACAGAGTAAACATAGAAGATCTAATCAGACCCAGTAGATAAATAAGAGCTAAAAGAAGATATTTGGTGGCTGTAAAGACTGTGCCTTTCACAGATTGTAAGAAATAATTCAAATATTCCACGTGCAGTATATGAAAACTTAGTAATTGTATTAGTAAAGTAATTGCAATAAAGTTGTTATTGTTATCTAAGAAGATATGGTGTCAGCCAGGCTCAAACGCTGCAGGATCTTTTCTAACTGTTCATCACTCTCACATTTAGCAGGCAGAAACTTACAAATGAGGAACATAATTATGCAGTTAGGCAACAATATTTATAGGCTAGCTTTATTATCTTAGGAAACAAACTCTATGTGATGCTATATAAGCTAAGCTATCGGATTGGATCAAATCTTGAAAGTGGGTTGTTCAAAAGAAAATAAGGATTCTGAAAAAACAGATTAGATCACAAAATCCAATCTTGGTTTTGATCTGATCAAATCATCAGGTTGTGGTTCAAAACATTTTAGTATGATTGGAATTACTATATATATATATATATATAGTATAAATATCAGGATTATTGTTATGATCCCAGCAGAAGAGTGGATTTCAGGAACAAAAATGTAATAAAACTTGAAAACATGTCCAAAAAAAAGAGAAAACATTTGTATAATTTAATACACACCCACAAACATTTTTTATTTAGCTCTTGATTCGTTTTCTTGATTACAGAACGCAAAAGCATTGAAAAAAAGATCCACCCCACCCCATTTATAATATATATTATAAATATAATAAAATAAAATAAATAAATCTCATATTTTTTCCCTCGCCATGTCCCTTTAGGCGCTCCGTAGAGCACGGATCCAGATTTGGTAATCTGAAAAGTATCTGGATCAGGGTGATCCAATCCCATTTTGCATTGAAAAGACGGTGTTGTGACGAATTTCGACTCCCTGCCAAATTATTACCCACCTCGTTGAAGTCAGTACCTGATTGCCTAATCCTAACCCCTCCCCTAGTCCTAACCCCTCCCCTAATCCTAGCCCCTCCCCCACAACTAATCCTAAAGCTACCAATAGGGGGGTAATAATTTGGCGGGGGTCAGAATTCGGCACAACACACGGCACAAAAGTAAGATGGATCACCTGATCCTGGATAGCAAAACATGGGATTTCCAACAACTGGGCTTGAATAAGTTGGCAAAACAAAAAAATAAATAGGCAAACAGTTGCATCAAAATATTTCCATTTTTAAGTTTTAAATTCAAAGTTTAAGTAAGCAGAACAGGATTTTTATTTTATTTTCAGATTTTTATTTTGTACTCTTAACATATTAATTTCTCTTAAATTGAAAAATTAGAGTAAGCTAAGCTAACTCATACATTTCATACATATCATGTACTCTCAATTTAAATATTTTTATTGGTGGAAACTTGGCTAACTTTAACTTAATTCAGTGAATGCTAACTTGCTAATTGGTAAAACCACACTTTGAGAATATTATCATAGCATAGCAATTGCTGAATAAGTACGGCAATATAGATGATTTATCATATACCTGTTCTCCATGATGGTAACCCCCTAAAAAAAACAACTTAAACTCTTCTAAATTAGCATAGCTAAACATTAAACACTACTAAATTCCCCACTTAGCAATAATCTTGCACACACAAAAAAACAAACACATTATATAATACCTAATTTTAGCATTTACTCTCCCTTTTGACCATGGCAAAGCATGCTGGGAAATAGAAATCCCAGCCCAGTTTTAGTTAAATTTAAGTCTGTCTAAATTAAAAGAAACAAGTTCATGAAACTCAAAACAGTGAAACAATTCAGATTACTTAAAATGTGTTGTGTGAACTCAAAAGAAAAAGAAATTTCTAGCTATATACTCATAAAAGTTCATTTGATTTAACTAATTTGCTTAATTTAAGTTTACCCTACTCAGACCAATTAATTATTTTGAGCATTAGGGTTTACAGTGTCACATTATATAATTGTAAAGCTAACAAGCTTCTTTTTTGTTAAATATTTTGCTATAAAAGGTATGCCGGTGCTATATTTATATACAATAATTGCCACATGGTTTAATATTGTTATGTAATGACATTCATGCATTTTTTTAAGTGTGACTGAAGTGTCTTAATACTTTTTGGGGCCTGTAAGGTCTAGCTACTGCAAAGAAACACACTACAGTTATTCTAACGGTGCGTTTATTTTATTTAACAGTCGTGATGGACTTCAGGGCGAGTATTTGTATTTGTGTGTGTGTGTGTGTGTGTGTGTGTGTGTAGCCAAACTGGGCCGGTGTGGTTCGTTTTTCTCCACCCGTTTCCATTCGCCCAACCCCCACATACCACAAGAGCCCGCCCTTCTTCATTCCGTACAACCGAACATGATAACACCCCCTTACGAAACGTCACTCGCGCCAGAGCTAAGCATGACGGGAGTTGTAGTCCCCAGCCGTTAAAAGGCAACGGACGCTGCGCGCTTTTGGAACTACGAGCCCCAAACGTCACCACGCCCACAGACGGTTGCCATCCAATCTGAATATGTGGGAGGGGAGCATCCGCCCACAAAAGCCACAGCAATTTTAGTGTGCCTCAAATGCAATTGTGCATCAAAAAAGTGAATTTCGGGAAATGTCGTGAGTGAATTCCGCCGAATAATCTCATACAAATACTTCCGCGACAGATTAAAAAAGAGAGCGAAATCGCCCAGGCATGCTGGTTTGGCATTCATAGATATTTAAATGGCAGTGGGTGGGCCCTCGCGCAGACGGAGATCTCTGACAGACCTGCACATATATCCGCGGAGGGATATTAGTTAATTCCGGATCTAACAGCAGAGATAGGCCCGGTTTCAACGCACACGGGACCGCCGCCGCTCAACCCGATTCACGCGGACTCGCTTGGCATTTTGTGCTCCGTTATTGAAGGGTGTTTTTGCATTGGCACCGCCCTTCCTGGCGGGGTGGGTCCGTGCGTCAGAGCTGCGCCACAGTCCGCGGCCGCTGGAGCAAATAGGCCGTCCTTCTGCTGGGCTGTTGCCTGCCTTCTGCCTGCCTTCCTCGGCGTCCGGCCTTTTTTTCCTCTTAAACAACTCCTCTCCGGGTTTTATTAATGCGGAATGAGTGGTACGTACCCTCCCCTCCGTATGCGTCTCCACCCCTTAATTCTCCATGCGTGCGTCTGTGCTATCCATCCATCGATGTCCCCCTACTTTTAAATGGGATCTGCTGTTTATTTGTGCCCATTGATCAGTTTTGGGTGTTGTGCAATGCTTGTAATGGATAGGGAACCTTGCTTTTGGAGATATTGATGTGTTTAGATGTCCTGGAGGCTTTTGCATTATAAAACCTGATCTTTGCATCATGCTTTTTGGTAATGCTGGATGCTTTACAAGTGTAATGTGGCATTGCAATTATTTGATTTACAACTCCAAAATTCCTGTTTGCTTTGGTTTTGACATTTGACTTTTTTCACAGATCAGAAGAAGGAAGCCATGGCCACAGATGAAGGGAAAGCCAGTGGAGGTGAAGGGGGTACGAAAGGGAAAAGTTCTGGATCACAGGTATCAGTAAAGTTTGACTTGAAGTGGTCTGTCATTTCTGCACTGAAAGCACTTCCTGATTATTGCAGGGCGCTTGGGTGCACAGTTACACACACACACTGTTCCTGTCTTAACCTGTCATGCTGTGCAATTCTGTGATAAAACATTTGTGAACTGTGTTAGGTAACACTTTTAATCTTTAGTCGGAACAAACATTTCATTATAATGATTTTGCACAAACATACAGTGGAGTCCAAAAGTCTGAGACTGTAGTTCTGGTTTGAAATGTAGTTTAAACTGAAGAACAAACTGAAATATTTATGGCGTCAAATAAAGAATAAAGATGTAATAATCTGCTCTATTTCTTGGTCACCAATCGACAGCAAAGACATGATAAACAAGTTTTGTTTATGTCATATATAGGCAAAAGATATTTTCAAATTCTTGTACATTTTTCACTCTCAAGTATATTTTTGAAAAATAATATGATGTAATATAATATACATAACTAAAAATATATACTTTTTTGTGGAAACAAAGAGAACATGATAATCATGTTTTGATAATGTAAACACTGCTGTTATAATAAAATAATAATATAAAGTTATTAAAATATTTTTAAATTCTTGTACATTTTCACTAAAATATATTTATTTTGTTAATATAAGTTAGATTGTGTGTGTGTGTATATATAAATTAATACTAATATATATATATATATATATATATATATATATATATATATATATATATATATAAGTATAAATAAGAAATCTAATATTTGTGACAACAGAACATAATCATGTTTTGTAATGTCAGCTCAAGTGTTGCTGTAATAATAATATAAAAAATATAAGCAAGAGATTTTTTCAAATTCTTTTACATTTTTCACTCAAGTTTAAAAAAAAATATATATAATGTAATATAATGTACATAAATAAGAAATATAATTTTTGTGGAAACAAAGAGAACATTATAATCATGTTTTGTTAATGTCAGTACTGCTGTTATAATAATAATAATATAATATTATTATTATTTATATAAGCAAAAATATTTTTAAATTCTTTTATATTTTCACTAAAATATATTTGTTTCGTTAATATAAGTAAGAGTGTATGTATATATATGCATGTATATCTATCTATATCTATATATATATTAGGGCTGTCAAATGATTAATCACGATTAATCACATCCAAAATAAAAGTTTTTTTTACATAATATATGTGGGTGCACTGTGTATAATTATTTTGTATATATATAAATACACACATGCATGTATATTTAAGAAAAAAATATTATTTATATATAAAATATTTATATATAATATAAATTATATATAAATCTATATACAGTTTATACATGAAAATATTTCTTAAATATATACAAGCATGTGTGTGTATTTATATATATATAAAATAATTATACACAGTGCACCCACATATATTATGTAAAAAAAACTTTTATTTTGGATGTGATTAATCACGATTAATCATTTGACAGCCCTTATATATATATATATATATATATTAGGGGTGGAAAGGTACATGTATTCGTACCGAACCGAAACGGTACGGGCGTCACGGTTCGGTGCACGAATTTACACGGAGAATACACGGTATAAAAATAAATAAAACTCGCGTGGAAATTAATTAATGTAATGCGGAACTACTGTTAGATATGCGGGCTCTTTAGGGACACATAATCTGGACCATCGGCTTTGCTCTGAACGCGCGTTCACTTCAAACGTTGGCTTATACGCGCGTCCTATTCGCTTTGGACTGGCGTCGAACTAGACGCGATAGACGCGAATTTAACGCTCTATTCGCGTTTGGTGGGACTGCATAATGAACAGGCTGCGATGTCAAGATTGCAATGCTGGAGTGTGTGTGTGTGTGTGTGTGTGAGAGAGAGAGGCGCGGCCGCGATCGAACAGTGAGAACATAAAAAACATACTCCGTCATTTTGTTCATACAGATCATTAAACCTGCAAAGTGTTTACTTATATTTGTGTACACTCGCAATAAAACACAACATTGTGCTTTTGTCACACTGTAAACTCTTGTCAAACTGTAACCTACAACTGTCACCCAACCAAAATCTCTCTCTCTCTCTCTCTCTCTCTCTCTCTCTCTCTCTCTCTCTCTCTCTCTCTCTCTCTCTCTCTCTCTCTCTCTCTCTCTCTCTCTCTCTCTCTCTCTCTCTCTCTCTCTCTCACACACACACACTGTTTTAAAAGCTAAACATATTTATCCAACTCCATTTCAAAACAGTCTGTGGGTCCCATATCGCATTTGCTTTCATTTCTCGTCCTCGGAGCACTAATCTTAAACATTCTACATTGATTAAAAAAGAAAATCGAATGCGTTATTAATGGTAGTATTATTTTATACAGAAATCAATTATTTATAATTCAGATGAGAATAATGTTACATTGTTAATTAATAATGTTAATTAAAATTAAGGAAAACAAATATATTGATCTGAAATATAGCAAATTAATTTTAAATTAATTCAGGTACAATTACCAAACATATCGCAAGGTCTTTTTGTCTTTTTATTAATTTAATTAATAAACGAATTATATAAAACTATTGTCAGTGCACTACAAATAAACTGGTTCTATGCCTTTATTAATAAAACTTATTTAAAAAATACAATGCCTTCTGCATTTTTGTTTTGCTTTTCCCTCCATTGTACCGAAATCGTACCGAACCGTGACGTCTGAACCGAGGTATGAACCGAACCGTGACTTCTGTGTACCGTTCCACCCCTAATATATATATATATATATATATATATATATATATATTAGTGTTAATAAGTATAAATAAGAAATCACATTTTTTTGACAACACAGAACGTGGTAATCATGTTTTGTAATGTCAGCTCCAGTGTTGCTGTAATTAAAGCAATAATTATAATAATATAAATAATAAGCAAAATACATTTTCCAATTCTTTCCAATTTAACACACAAGTATATTTAATTTGTCAAAGTAAATATAAATAACATAATATATATATATATATATATATATATATATATATAATAAATATATTATTTGTAATGGACATTTTTTAGAAGTATTTTCATTAGTGTTTACAGACTTTTGCAACCCACTGTACTTTAAATATTTGTTAGTATAATATTAATAAGTTGGTTTTAACAGAAAAGCCTTTTTGTCATGAAGAGTTTGTTTCTCGAGCCTTTGATCGGGAAGTGTAGAGACTGTGGTTCACACACCCACTTACTCTTCCTGTGAACCCGCCCACATCTGCTGACTCTGACATCTCACTGTGTGTGTGTGTGTGTGTGTGTGTGTGTGTGTGTGTAGGATGCTCAACCGTCTCCTCTCGCATTGCTCGCAGCGACGTGCAGTAAAATAGGAGGTGTTGGCAGCGAGGGTCAGGCGAACACACAACAGCAGATAATAATCGACCCGAACCAGGGTCTTCTTCAGCTCCAGAACCCCACGCAGCAGCTCGAGCTCGTTCCTGCACAGTTGACAGGAAACGGCTGGCAGATCATCGCAACTTCCCCTGCAACTGCAACCAAGGACAACATTGGCACTAACGTCATAACCAATGAAGGCGTCGCGGGGCGAAAGATCAAGGCAATCGGCTCGAATAATTCCCCTGGCGCACAGCAACAGCAACAGTTTCAAATCATCCAGGTGCAGAATTTGCCGAACTCGTCGGGTGGGATTCAGTATCAGGTCATCCCGCACCTTCAGACCGCGGACGGACAGCAGATCCAAATAAGCCCCAGTAACCCTTTAAGCGTTCAGCCCGAACAGATCCAGCTCATTCCCACCGGAAACAACCAAGCTATTTTGGCCACGCCCCAAAGGACGGGATCCACCAGCATTGTCACTCAAAACCAGTCGATTCCGCTTCAAATCAGGCCGTCGTTTCCTCTGCAACTGCAAACCATTCAGGGTACGCAAACGCCTATGGTGACCACGTTGCCTATTAACCTTGGCGGTGTGACTTTGGCTCTTCCGGTTATCAATAACGTAGCAGGAGCGGGAGGTTCGGTTCAACTGGTCCAATCAGCCGACGGAAGTATTTCCAATGGAAACCAGCTGATAGCAACGACTGTCACTAGCGCAGCAGAATCCACCGGCGTTTCGACCTGCACGACGACTGCGACGGGCACCAATTCGGTCGTTGTGACCTCTGCGGATGGCATGACGTTATCCTCAGCGTCCGAAACCCAGAAGGACGGTCAGTCGGGTGATGCAGACGCTCAGAACTTGGCTCAGTCCAACGGCCTCCAACCTGCATCCGATCAGACTGGCCAGATCCAGCAATTTCAAATCGTGGGGCATCCGGTTCTCCAGCAGATCCAGATCCAGTCGCCCCAGCAGCAGCAGCAGTTAGTCCAGGGCTCCATACAGATCCAGCCCGGCCAGACTTTACAACCGCTGCAGCAGAACCTCCAGCTTCAGGCCTTCCAGAACCCCACGCAGGTTCTGATCCGCACGCCCACGCTCACGCCGTCAGGGCAGATCAGCTGGCAGACCGTCCAGGTCCAGAACGCAGGGATGCCCCAGCAGCTGACGCTCGCCCCCATGGGGTCGAACGCAGGCGGCGGGACCTACGCTCAGATCGCCCCGCTGACGCTCGGAGGCTCGCCCATCACGCTCACCGCGGCCCAGCTGCCCTCTGGCACCGGCGTGCAGACGGTGAACATCGCGGGTTTGGGCACGGCTGGAGTCCAGGTGCAGGGCGTCCCGCTCACCATCACCGGCGTGCAAGGTAAGACCCGCGCGTCATGTGACACCTGTTGGAAACAGTATTTGTTAATATTTGTGAATAGTATGTGAAATCAGGAGTGTTTTGATTAATAATTGGATTAATAATTATATTTGTGTATAATATTTGTGTATAAAATGTGAAATCAGGAGTGTTTTGATTAATAATTGGATTAATAATTATATTTGTGTATAATATGTGAAATCAGGAGTGTTTTGATTAATAATTGGATTAATAATTATATTTGTGTATAGTATGTGAAATCAGGAGTATTTTGATTAATAATTGGATTAATAATTAGATTTGTGTATAATATTTGTGTATAGTATGTGAAATCAGGAGTATTTTGATTAATAATTGGATTGATAATTATATTTGTGTATAATATGTGAAATCAGGAGTGTTTTGATTAATAATTGGATTAATAATTATATCTGTGTATAGTATGTGAAATCAGGAGTATTTTGATTAATAATTGGATTAATAATTAGATTTGTGTATAATATGTGAAATCAGGAGTGTTTTGATTTAATAATTGGATTAATAATTATATTGTAATTTAATATTTAAGTTATTTATTTGGAATTTATCACCTTTTTTATTTACATTTAAGTTGGAGAATCGCATTAAAAAAAAAACATTTCCACCCCAAAAACAAAGGGAAAAACATATATATAACGTATATGTAACGCAACATCTAACGCGCAAGCAAATGAAACCTGTTTTAGGACTGTTTTTTGCATATATGATAACAAAGCATATTTTCCTTAAGAATAATTGCTGATTATTTATTTATTATTTTTTGCATTACAGTTATAAAAAATAAAATAAAATAAAATTAAATTTGGGGTGGGGGTGTGCTCTAATTGTCATTAAAAAAACACATTAAAGCAAAAAAAATATATCATTAAAAAAAAGAAAGGCCAAAAAAATATAATTGAATTTTTCCTAGGCTTTTAGGGTAAATATGAAAATGATTCAGCAGCACCAATCAATAAGTTTTGGGATAATTATCAAAATGCTTTTAAACATATATCCAAAAAGACAAATATATTACTTTCAACTTTGAAGATATTTATACTTTTAACCATATGTGAACTGTTTTTGATGTTTAATTTGAAAAATGACAGACTCTGTAAACTAGCGGAAAAGTATAGGATGAAATGCAGTGATGTGTTTTCCATAGTCTCTTTATTACTCATGAAGTAAAACGGCAAATCAAGGCAATTATATTTTAGAAGTCAGAGTCTGAATGCTGTTTCCAAATCCCTCGTAAGGTGTCAGATTTCAGACTCTTTGTTACTGCCCTTTGCAAGTTTGGTTCCACCCTGGAAAAGAAAGTTTCAACAGATTTCTCCTGGAAGTGTGTCTTACTCGGGTAGCACTGCAACCGCCGTGACTCACTCATTTAGGACACTAAATTATATCCAAAGCTTCCTTTTTCGTTATTTCCCAAAACTTGCAAGAGTTATTCGTATCCATATGCGTTTGAACAGTTCTTGCAATTAAGCATTCACTGAGTGATTTAATCAAAAGTGCTGTTTGTGAATTCCCACAGGTCAGCAGCAGGGTCAAGATGGGGTCAAAGTTCAGTCCACCCCAGTGACGGTCACTGTGGGCAACATCAGCAGCACGACCCTGAACGCAGTGAGCCCAGACCAGGTCCAAAGCCCGTCGGACCAGGAGGGTCAGCCCAGCAAGAGGCTGCGCAGGGTGGCCTGCTCCTGCCCCAACTGCAGGGATGGAGAGGGGAGGTACGGCAGAGCATAACAACCGGGAACAAGGAAAGGAGTGTAAAACGAGAGGGTTAAAGCAGAGGAACCGAAAGAGATTAAACGGGAGGATTAAAAGAGTTTGAGTAGAAAGTTTTTACACACCTTTTAGTTTTTGGTTTTAAGCACCACTCACAGAAAATGTCAAATGTTTTTTGGTAACACTTTACAATAAGGTTAACATTACAATAAGTTAACATGAACTAAGAATGAACAATACTTCTACAGCATTAATTAATATTTGCTAATATTCCTTTCAACATTTACTAATACATTATTTAAATCAAAGGTTGTATTTGTTAACATTAGTTAATGCACTGTGAACTAACATGAACAAACAATGAACTAATGTATTTTTTTAACTAACATTAACAAAGATTAATAAATACTGTAACAAATGTATTGCTCATTATTATTTCATGTTAGTTAATACATTAACTGATGTTAACTAATGAACCTAAAGGCCTGTTCACACCGGGACGAATTTCGCGCGCGATATTCGCCGACGTTTAACGCCTCGTGACTAAACAAAGGGCGCCAATGTGAGTGTGCACACCGACGCGAAAAACGCCATGCGTAAAAGCGTCATTTTTAAAAAACGCCTCAGGGTCGTTTTTTTAGTTTGACGCGCCGCTTCAAAAAACTCTCCGACCATTGAGATTGGCGCTTTTGCTCACGTGTCTGGAGCTTCTGAAGTTACAGTAAAACACAACTTGGGGGCGCTTAAAAACAAAACGGTCTTGCCGAGCACACATACGTAACGGCGAAGAAGATATACGCCAAGTAGCGTCTACACTGCCTTGAAGAAATAAGACGAGGAAGATGCAAGGCCAGATGAATGTAGAGCTGCTGGTCTCGTTGGTGTCGGAACATAAAGAACTACATGACAAACGCGACAGCGACTACAAAAATCTTGATAAAAGGGAATGTTATGGAGTGGTTTCGCAGAGCAAATGGGCGCCATCTAATGTCAGGGAATGAATTTGCATGTTCACTCGGCTCATCGTCAGCGATGTGAACACAAAAAACGCGTTGAAAAACGCGGGCGAATAACGCACGCCGATATTCGTCCCGGTGTGTACGGCCCTTTATTGTAAAGTGTTACCGTTTTTTAGTAGATAAGACTGTACAAAACTGCACACACAAATCTCGAGAGCCTTTTTTAACTGATAAAAAAGTATTTAACTTAAAGGGATACTCCACTTTTTTTTGGAAATAGTCTCATTTTACAACTCCCCCAGAGTTAAACTGTTGAGTTTTACCGTTTTTGAATCCATTCAGCCGATCTCCGGTTCTGGCGGTACCACTTTTAGCATAGCTTAGCATACATCACTGAAGTGGACAAGACCATTAGCATTTCTCAAAAATAGCCTATTTTCAGGCGCTGCGTCATATCATTACGCCTGCTGCACTCATGGTACGGGAGTAAAGTTTCTTGATTATTACGCAGGAATGAGAGTATAGTTCCTAGCCATATCAGCCTAGAAAAACGCAACTTTACATTTTCCGTCGGTCTTAGTGCACGATGTAACTACAGAAGAGTCAAGTTTTAAATAGGAAAAATATCGAAACTCTTTGGTCATTTTTTTTTGAGAAATGCTAATGGTCTTGTCCACTTCAATGATGTATGCTAAGCTATGCTAAAAGTGGTACCGCCAGAACCGGAGATCGGCTGAATGGATTCAAAAACGGTAAAACTCAACAGTTTAACTCTGGGGGAGTTGTAAAATGAGCCTATTTCCAAAAAAAGTGGAGTATCCCTTTAATGTTTTTGTGGGTTTTGACCAGGTGAAGCATTTTTGAGCATTAGTTGTGTGTATTCCTCTGTTTGGACAGAAACAACAGTGACCCCTCCAAGAAGAAACAGCACGTGTGTCATATGGAGGGTTGCGGGAAGGTTTACGGCAAGACGTCTCACCTGAGGGCTCACCTGCGCTGGCATACGGGAGAGAGACCGTTCGTCTGCAACTGGATCTTCTGCGGGAAACGCTTCACCAGGAGCGACGAGCTACAGCGGCATCGCAGGACGCACACAGGTGCACACACAATCACACGCAACGCACTTCTGCACACAACAGGGCGGGAAACATTCACAGGAAACTACAGGCTATATTCCTCATTACTCGTCTGCCATTTTATACACTCACCTAAAAGATTATTAGGAACACCTGTTCAATTTCTCATTAATGCAATTATCTAATCAACCAATCACATGGCAGTTGCTTCAATGCATTTAGGGGTGTTGTCCTGGTCAAGACAATCTCCTGAACTCCAAACTGAATGTCAGAATGGGAAAGAAAGGTGATTTAAGCAATTTTGAGCGTGGCATGGTTGTTGGTGCCAGACGGGCCGGTCTGAGTATTTCACAATCTGCTCAGTTACTGGGATTTTCACGCACAACCATTTCTAGGGTTTACAAAGAATGGCGTGAAAAGGGAAAAACATCCAGTATGCGGCAGTCCTGTGGGCGAAAATGCCTTGTTGATGCTAGAGGTCAGAGGAGAATGGGCCGACTGATTCAAGCTGTTAGAACAACTTTGACTGAAATAACCACTCGTTACAACCAAGGTATGCAGCAAAGCATTTGTGAAGCCACAACACGCACAACCTTGAGGCGGATGGGCTACAACAGCAGAAGACCCCACCGGGTACCACTCATCTCCACTACAAATAGGAAAAAGAGGCTACAATTTGCAAGAGCTCACCAAAATTGGACAGTTGAAGACTGGAGAAATGTTGCCTGGTCTGATGAGTCTCGATTTCTGTTGAGACATTCAGATGGTAGAGTCAGAATTTGGCGTAAACAGAATGAGAACATGGATCCATCATGCCTTGTTACCACTGTGCAGGCTGGTGGTGGTGGTGTAATGGTGTGCGGGATGTTTTCTTGGCACACTTTAGGCCCCTTAGTGCCATTTGGGCATCGTTTAAATGCCACGGCCTACCTGAGGATTGTTTCTGACCATGTCCATCCCTTTATGACCACCATGTACCCATCCTCTGATGGCTACTTCCAGCAGGATAATGCAACATGTCACAAAGCTCGAATCATTTCAAATTGGTTTCTTGAACATGACAATGAGTTCACTGTACTAAAATGGCCCCCACAGTCACCAGATCTCAACCCAATAGAGCATCTTTGGGATGTGGTGGAACGGGAGCTTTGTGCCCTGGATGTGCATCCCACAAATCTCCATCAACTGCAAGATGCTATCCTATCAATATGGGCCAACATTTCTAAAGAATGCTTTCAGCACCTTGTTGAATCAATGCCACGTAGAGTTAAGGCAGTTCTGAAGGCGAAAGGGGGTCAAACACAGTATTAGTATGGTGTTCCTAATAATCCTTTAGGTGAGTGTATATTCATATCAAATTTTCGTTTTTCACAACTCGTCTGAGCTCTTATGCCCTGTTCACACCTGGTATTAAGATGTGTTTTGGTCGATCGGATCACAAGTGGACAACACTAAATACAGGTGTAAACGGGTCTAAAACGCTTTGAGCTTGTCCACTTTCAACCGCTTCCAGAGTTGAAAACACATTCGACCGGATTGCTTTCGTAGTGTAAACGCTCATGTGGTCGGATGTGTTCAAACAGCCACAAAAGACCGTCTACTCTCCGTCTACTGAACTAATGCGTGAACATTATGGGAAGAGCGCTAGACAGACGGGATTTAAACTTTGTCGGCTGGAGACCCCAGTTTGGTATAAAGATGAAAAACATACCAAGCACAATGTTCTCTCACCATTCCTGATTTTTAAAGGGATAGTTCACTTTGAAATGAATTTTTGGTATGTTTTAGCTTACCTCAAGGGCATCCAAGATGTAAGTGTCTTTGTTTCCGCAGTAGTTTCAATTTTGATATTTTTAGGTCAAGCCGTTCTTGTCTGTCAGTCATATAATGCAGGTCTATGGTCACCACCTCAAAGAGCATGCACAGAGAAGTCCAAATTAAACATGATTTAATGACTCGTAAATGTAAGTACACATTGATGGCCTAAGACACGAAACGAGCGGTTTGTGTGAGAAAACGAACAGTATTTATATCGTTTTTACCTCTTGTAAACACAGTCACGTCCAAGTGATCTCTCGCGCGTGTACGTCACTCATACAAATTTTTTATTTTAATTTTTTTACGACGGTTTAAACATCCCGGATAAGCGCAAAAGAGTACCATTTTAATAAGCCGTCTTACCTACAATCTCTGTTCTGTGTAAACAATGAGTGACGTACACGCGCGAGAGATCACTTCCGGCGCTTTCCGGAAAAGACCGAAGCGCCGGCGCCTTCAGATCACTTGGACGTGGCTGTGTTTACAAGAGGTAAAAACGATATAAATACTGTTCGTTTTCTCACACAAACCGCTCGTTTCGAATACATAATGTCGCGTCCTTTCGGAAAAACATTTGCATCGCGAGCACGAATATGAGGCCTTAAAGGGTTAGTTCACCCAAAAATGAAAATGATGTCATTAATGACTCACCCTCATGTCGTTCCAAGCCCGTCAGACCTCCGTTCATCTTCGGAACACAGTTTAAGATATTTTAGATTTAGTCCGAGAGCTTTCTGTCCCTCCATTGAAAATGTATGTACGGTAAACTGTCCTTGTCCAGAAAGGAAATAAAGACATCATCAAAGTAGTCCATGTGACATCAGTGGGTTAGTTAGAATGTTTTGAAGCATCGAAAATACATTTTGGTCCAAAAATAACAAAAACTAGGACTTTATTCAGCATTGTATTGTCTTCCGGTTCTGTCGTGGACCCTTTAAAATGCTGAGAAGGCAGCTCAGTAACACAGCTGATATGAAAGTGGGTTATGCTTACAGTTTATGTCTCATTTGCCATAATATCAATATATATTGGCAACGAGCCACCCTGATCTCTAGCTATCTGTAATGTATTGCCTGTTTTTTCTTGCTCTGATCTGAATAAACTAACGATTGTCTCCGTCCCGATCAGGTGAGAAGAGGTTCGAGTGTCCGGAATGCTCCAAGAGGTTCATGCGCAGCGACCACCTTTCAAAGCACATCAAAACCCACCAGAACAAAAAAGGTGGGGCGGCACTTACCATCATCACCACAGATGAAATGGAGGAAGAGGTGGACGAGGTCCTGGGCTCGCCGAGGATCGTCACCGTGGCGTCGCTCTCGCAGGATTCGAACCCGGCCACGCCCACGACTTCAAACAATTTAGAGGAGGAGTTTGAGTAGCTTTCCCTCCAAATATTATCGTCTAAAAGCACCACGATATTGTTTGTTCTTCTGTTGGTTTGTTTATGTTCTTCATTCTTTTTCTATTGACGATGGACAGCTGTTTGAGCGTACTCGATTTTTCATATGGAAGTTTAATACTATCAAATATTATGACAAAGAATAATCTAAAGGAAATATGGAAATAGTATGAGCAGTTAAGAGACATAACATGCGCGTTGAACGAAGACGTTTCGAGTAGCACAAGAAGTACTAAAGTTCCCAGATGCTCCGGAAGATGTCGCTATGCACAAAAATGATATTTATCTGTTTTCGCAGTGGTTACGGATTAAATACACAGTCGGGGATGAGAATCTCGGAGCTTTACGCATTGGTCTGTGGGTTTGCGTACGATCAGGCTAGAAAGATGAGCTGCGAACAGATCTTTAGTACACGTTTAGAGCCTCAGCACAAGCTTGAAGAGCGACGCCGTCTGATTGGAGCGCGTTGCAAGGCGTCAGCCAATCACAGCCTCGCGCACAGAATGTGTTGATTATCAGCAGTCAAACTTTTATGTAGGAGAAACGAGATTATAGAGACGGGCTATTTAAAGAAAAGCACATTAGATTTACAAATAATGCATTCCAGTTACGATTTCTTTAGAAAGGAAAAAAAACAATCTAGCTTTCTAAGACATGCTATGTTAAATGAAGGCAATACTATAAAGACAATCTTTGTAAAACCATGTTTACATTACCGAGGGGTCGAAAAGGTTTAAGAAAAACACCTAGAGAAGTTCTCTCTTATCTCAAGTCATATAAACTGTACTCTGATGCCTTAAAACACTGCAGTACCGCTACGTTACGGCTGGGTAGGGGGACGTGGGGCTTCGACTGTGTTTTCAAACATATTCGTGCCCAGGTGGCCGCGTTAATCTTTTTATACACGATGGCGAACACTGTGGCCAGGGAACGAGCGCGATGATCCGCTTCAGCCCTCGTCCGCCCAGGTAAAGATCCTCCCGACCCGTTCATGTGTCCTCCTGTCGCCCGATGACTTTAGTGCGCTCTCCAAAGAGATTTGACCCTGTTACGTGCACCAATCCCCTCCAAACCCTCCCTCTGGACCGCTACGGGACGTCTCCAGGTCACGGGAAACCATGAAGCCACTTAGATGAGTTTGATGTTCAGAAATCTGTGGTGTGGCGTTCTTCTTCGTGAGGTTTATGTTCTCCCGCTCTCGTTTAGTTTGGTTCGTTTTCATTTCAAACCCATTTTTTTGGTTCTCGCACAACACGAGTACATGCCACCTGTGTGAGTGTGTTTGTGTGTCTAATTTATTATTTATCCTTCTATTAGTATTTGCTAATGTGTATTGTGCGCTGTTAATGCAGTTATGACGTGCTGCATGGTTCATTTCCTCTAACGATCTCTATTTAGTAACGATTTGCTATTTCTAAACGTGGTCCTTTTAGAAGTAAAACCATGGCTTTTAATTTATCTGAAGTTTCCCACCATGACGTGTTTCAAATGGAGAAAAAAAAAAAAACAAGTTTAAAAAGAAATGGTTGAAACCAAACAATTACAAATAGATGTTTTTGGTAATTTTTTCTGTGGCGAGCGATTTTCTTTAATCTTTTCTAGTGACACCTCATTTGTAAATCATTTTTCTAAGATGTTCCTTTGTCCTCATGGCATTTGATAATGAATTTTTTTGCCAGGTTAGCCTGAAAGGCTGCAGTTTATTGATATTTTTAAAATAACTTTGTACAAACGTGTTATGTTAATGGGTAAAAAAAAAAAAAAGAGGAAAAAGAAAAAAATCTTTGCCTGCATAACACTTGAAATTAAAGTGAGTAATTCTGTCTTAAATATTTCATGTCTATGTCGAATTCTTTATTTCAGTCTGTGGTTTTATTTACAGCTTGAGGTTCAATATGACCGAATGTATCCTGAATTACAGTATTTCTTTCTTGGTAACACTTAACACACTTTACATGGACCTGAGCTATGATGCCTGATTGTATTTTAAAGCAATAAGAACCAAGATGCTGTGGTTACTACATAGCTGGCAAGGTTTCATAAAATAGACATAATAATAATTCTTCCGCTAAGCAATGTAAGTTGGTTATTAGCAATGTTCAGCTGAATGCTTGCCAAGAAACACACGGTAATAAAGCAGTAATACCGACGTAATGACGTCACAAGTGCGAAAGTATTCGAATTTCGAACTCGATATGTTCGGTTTCGAACGCGGCTCAACTACTCAGACATTTTTTATACAAATTACAATTAGACATTTGTATAAACTCGATTCAAAAACAGTAGTTTTAACTGAAGTACGGCATGTCACGGCGCTGATTGACAGGTCATGTGACGCTACCGATGTCATTCTGCATCTGATCACCCACACCAGAAGTTGTTCGTCTCTGAGGATCTGTCGAGTGGTGAAGTCAGTGACAGGAGGGCAGGAGTGAGGAGGATGAGGATGATGATGATGTGTGCAGTGGCGGAGCCAGGATTTTTTCATAGGGGTGGCCAGGCAAGGGCCAGCAAACAGTCTGGGGTGGCATATAAATCTAAATTATTTTAACATAAAAATTATTTTAAATAATGTATTGGACTGTTTTAGTGCCTTCCTACACAACTGAATACAGTTCATTTGTACTTAATTGTAATTGAGATAGTAGTGAAGGAATCATGGAATACTGAGTGAATTTGATCTTTTTTTAATTATTATTAGCTACTACCTCCAGGCATATTAATAAAGAGTACACACACTATAGCTAAAGTTCAACTTGCTCAGTTAGCTTGGTTCTGGTTCTCAAAACCCCCAACATTGTTGCACCTTCATGGATGAGACATGCAGATAACTACTGTAGTTCGAAGATTATTTAACCTTCATTGAATTTTATATAATCAATTAACTCTTCAACTTTCTATATTAGTTGTCAAAATAAAGAATCTAATCCGTTCTATCATACCTAAATTAAAAAGGGGGGAAAACATCTCTTTTGAATCTCTATGTCCAAGAATGTGAACAAGGCGGAAGTAAACAGCACATAAATACCAGAATGTAAAATTAGTTATTTTATGTATTTAAAAATGATAATTTTTAGTTTTGCCTTTACAAATTAACGCAAAATTACCGCCTATCTTCTAGTAGCTTACAAATGCACAGTGCTCACATTTATTTGAACATTAAAAAAAATCACATAGCCTGTCAGTTTGTGCCTTAAATTGTGATTTCACATGGCAGAATATTTTAGTCGAGACATATGTGACGCATATATAACAAATACATGCATGCATGCAGTTTTGACACAGATTTGATCGCCTTTTTGATTATTTCATGAGTTAGCTAATTGAATTACTGCTACAGCACGCCACATTGCGCGTGATGTGCAAGTACAGTACAACGGCTGTCAGGACAGGAAAGTTAGTTTTACTGACATTTGTTGACCTTACAACATCTCATCTTACCACAGTTACTGATTCAGGACAACGCGCTTTTCTCCGCATCTGACAGAAGTGTCACAAGCTTTCACACAGATCTTTCATAATAAAAGTAGAATCAGAAAAAAAAGAGAATTACGTTGTTGTTTCTTTGACTGCAACCCACCAGTTGAGAAACATCGAATCTATATTTACTATGCTCCGATCACTGCTCAAGCTCATTCGGTACCCGTACATCTCCGCACTCGTTTGACTTGCGCCTGGCGCTGAGGTGAAGTTGGAGTGCGCGTCTGAAAAGTCTCACGTTTTTTGTGGTCTTAAAGCGACGGTTCTGTGTTTTAAAAACAAAATTCTTGTAAAAATTAGAGCGAGACAGAAACAGCAGTTGTGAGAGGGGTGGCCAAAGGGGTGGCCAAGCCAAGGGTGGCCATGGCCACCCCTGGCCACCCCCTGGCTCCGCCACTGGATGTGTGGAGGTGGTTTCCAGACATGGGGACTTGTGACTTGGTGACTTGGACTCGAGTCGACTCGAGTCGCTATTTTTATGACTTGTGACTTGACTTGACATAAAATGAAATACTTGAGACTTGACTCGGACTTGGAAGTTAAAGACTCGGGACTTGACTTGACTTGAGACACGATGACTTGAATGACTTGAGTGTTAATCACATCATGTTTTCAGTTTGAATATAAAATATATATAAAAAAATGTTTTAAAGTTGATCACGACACTATCATCAGTCATACCTCGTACCTTACGCACACCACGCCCACTTAGATCAGATATCACATCAAAATGTCAGCCGGAGGGGTACCGAGGGTCATTGCTTTCGGCTTCAAGAATTATTCACACCATGGCAAAAGACGAACAGCGCTTTGCAAGACATAGGCTACAACATTAACATTGCGGACAGCCAGACGACAACCTCCAATTTCGTCCGTCATTTGAAGAGCCATTCTGCCCAGTAAGTGCTTGTCAATTTGTTAATGTTAGTAGTTAGCTAATGTAATAGCTAAAGTAGCCATTAACCCTTTCACAAGTAAGTTTAAACTATTCTAACTGATCCACCAGCGTGAGTTTTTCTAGGCGACCGTTATTTAGAACCTGTCACTCACTTTAGTGTTTCATGGTGACGCGTCATTGCTTGTCAAGTGACACAGCGCAACCACAACACAGCGCTGAATGAATGATCTGCTTTTATGTCATTTTTCCTGTTTTATTCAAAATGTTCACAAATGTATTAGCTATAACATGCAACACTGATATTCCGATTGTCAAATATGTGTAAGTGGATGTGTTTTGTTGTTTAAACACCTTTATAATGATCGCGTTAGATGAGCTGTATGTGCGAATGGGCGGTGCCATGTTAACGTTAGTTTACAACACGTCAATTTCTCAACTTCTCACGAAATACATGAAAGTAAGTGACCGGTGAACTGGGAGAAGAATAGGGTAAAATGTAAAGCTACTTACACAATGTGTATCTGATATGAATAAAACGTGCGTCTTATTATAATGGAAATGATTATTATTGACGCTTCCATAGACATCATCAGTGTATATTTTACAAACTACAAATATATTTTTTGCTAGTAGTTATGTGTATTTAAATGTCTGAAACCTAAAATAAAAATGATGTGGTTGAAAACACTGAACAGTTGTGATATATGACAGCACTGAGAGCGTATGTCTCTGGCTCAGCGCCAGCCAACGCGTTTGAATTCATTGATAAATAACTTACACGAAGCAGAATAGTGGGTCATATGTCTAATGCTTTTTGAAAACTTAAAAGGGGCATATAATGCCATTTTTGTACAAGCTAATATGATTCTTTGGGGTCTAAATTAAAAGTTTGTAATATACTTTAATTAAAAATTCTCATTAGTATTGTAAGAAAACACTTATTTTACTTGGTCAAAAACAGCTCTGTTTTCAGCACGCCGTTTCAGTGCATATGACTTTAAATGATAATTTGCTCACCCCGCCCCTCTGTTCTGTGCGTACACCGTTTGTAACACAATAACACAATAACCATAACGCGTTGTTCAGTATAAACGTGGAATTATGAATTATATTGAGAACGTCATACATAGAAAACATGCCGTAATGTACCCTGAGTGTAAACCTTAGACGCATTCATTGTGAAGTGTGCAGCTAGCGATTTGCAAAGATATAAATATTAATATAAAGTTGAATAAAACGTTACACTCACTTCAGTTCTTCTGGAGATTCAGCAGGAACACGAATATCTGGTACCGATCTTTTTTCATGAGCAGCTACTTAGCAAATCCAGCTTTATACTCACCCTCGTTTATAAAGCAGTCTGGTGTGTGAAATGATTCGGGCAAACATGAGAGCATTGACGTTGCTCGTGGGGAATATTCCCTTCGAAAACAAACTCAGCCACTGCGTCTTCAGCGGTTCGGATTTAGGAACATTAAAATGACTGTGTTCGTTATTACACCCAAGAACAGAACACCACAATCGCTTAGACGCCATTCTGCTCATAGACAGTGCTCCAGCATATCAACAATGACCGCGCCGGTCCGCGCAGACTATGATTGACAGCTCGCTCTCACGAGCGAGGGCGGGTCTGTGTTGAAACGCGGCTGTCATTCAACAATCGTGGGAGGGGCGTCCGACCGTGTGACGTCACAGGCTCGAACGGCTCGATTTGAGGCAGGGGAAAACATATAAGGAGATTAAAACAAAACCACTGGATGGATTTTTATCATTATATGATGGTTGTGTACAGGCACTGCCAACACACATTTCAGTACAATCAACTTGTAAAAGTGCATGTACCATTATATGACCCCTTTAAGGCTTTCTTCTTCATAAAAGAAGTCGGACATCACATTTTTGTATACATTTTTATTTCTTTAAATTAGTAAGCTACAGGACACCATCTTTCAAAACATGACCTGCGTGAAAGAAAAAAGTGAATGAATGCGTCATTGTTCCCAAATGCACTTCCGAATGCGCCTCTGTTCATTTCAAACCAAACTGACGCCCATAGATCAAACTCTGCAGGTAAAATTACAATAATAAGGTGACTTGACTTGGACTTGACTTGACCTACTACAAGACTTGACTTGACTTGACTTGACATAGCCTGTGACTTGACTTGACTTGACTTGCCCAGGAAAAAAATACTTGGGACTTACTTGAGACTTGAAGGTTAAGACTTGAGACTTACTTGAGACTTGCACATGTGTGACTTGGTCCCATCTCTGGTGGTTTCATGTGGGCAGCTGGGCGGATCTCTTTTGTTCTTTTCTTCATTTGATTGACAGCTCTGTACCTGCAGTGCGCCAGCAAAGGGGAGCTTTTATCCACTTTAACAGCTGCTGTGTGTGTGTGTGTGTGTGTGTGTCATACACTCACTCAGTCTGCATCGAGACAGGAATCGAGCACCTGTCTCGAGTCTACAAAAAATGTTCATGACATGTCTCACCAGTTTTATGTTAATATTTCATACTGTATGATAAACGGATAATGAGATTCATAGATTCTCTGGTTGGCAATTCATGACTCTCAGCATTGAGACAGGTTTGCAAAAAAAAAAAAAAAAATCCATCTATCTATATCACAGATAAAAATGTTGAAAAGCCAAAGGAGGACTTTAAAAAACATTTTTCAAATGAAAAGAAAATTGAACAAGATTTGCCTTTCAAGAAAATGGCTTTTCATTTTTAGTTTCATTTTGATGAAGGGATTCATCTGTTGTATCTGCACTTTATATAATTTGTCCTTGTCAATTTTAGGCAAATATATGTTTATGATATTTAATATAGGAAGTAAGGCTTTAGATGCCATCTATAAGACACTTTACTCCATTCATATAACTCAATATCAATACTCAAACTAAATCAGAGAGACAGGAAAAAAATGTATAGGTTGTGTCCAAAATTAAAACAAAATAGGTTTAACTCTTTATCATTAAACATCATGAATTTATTTCAAAAACTGAAATACTTAATTTCACAACATAAAAAGACCATGTAAAATGTGAAATAAAAGGACCTTTATTAAAACTCTCCAAGAAGTTTTCAAAGAGAAATTGTGCAAATAAGAGAACGTTCAGTAATGTTACAAGCTTTTATGATATCTCTGTTTAATATGCAAGAGAACAGTATGATTCATAAAAACGAAATTAAAATCAGAAAAAGTTCAGTAAAACATGGTGAAACTCCTGATTTGCATATCGGTGTTAAACCGTCAGTGTTTCCAGGATAACTTTAAAAGTGTCAGGAGTAAAACGTGGAGTAGATTCCAATCTGATGATGATCAGTTCGGTTCCTTCACACGGAGGCCAGACGATCCCGCTTCACTCAATGTCCTTCTGTAGACTTCAAGCAAAAAACACGAAGCAACATTAAAATCCCTCAGACTCACGGTCACCGTTTTGCATCCAGATATGGAGTGACACATGCAGCTCAGACTAATGCTGATGTATAGAGGGAAATAATGATCAGCACTGTGATGAAGTCAGCATGAAACTGCATTCACATTTGACTTCTGTAATGTGAAAGGTCTCGAAGTGAAACAGGATATTGAATGAGGAAAAACAAATGTACGGAGGCACTTGATTTTATCTATCAGGAATTAACTGCGTTGTGAAAAGTAAGAGACATCTTACAAAAATCTGAAATACCCACTGATAAACCAGACTTTCCCAAACTAGGGTTAATGAGGGAATTACAAGTGGTTATATATATATATATATATATACACACACACAGTAGTCAACATTTGAAGTGGACGGGTATTGTTCAAAATTCAAAACTTTGATGAAAGGTTTTGATCCACTTCAAATGTTGACTACTGTATTATATACACTCACCGGCCACTTTATTAGGTACCCCATGCTAGTAACGGGTTGGACCCCCTTTTGCCTTCAGAACTGCCTCAATTCTTCGTGGCATAGATTCAACAAGGTGCTGGAAGCATTCCTCAGGGAGTTTGGTCCATATTCACATTATGGCATCACACAGTTGCCGCAGATTTGTCGGCTGCACATCCATGATGCGAATCTCCCGTTCCACCACATCCCAAAGATGCTCTATTGGGTTGAGATCTGGTGACTGTGGAGGCCATTTTAGTACAGTAAACTCATTGTCATGTTCAAGAAACCAATTTGAAATGATTAGAGCTTTGTGACATGGTGGAAGTAGCCATCAGAGGATGGGTACATGGTGGCCATAAAGGGATGGACATGGTCAGAAACAATGCTCAGGTAGGCCGTGGCATTTAAACGATGCCCAATTGGCACTAAGGGGCCTAAAGTGTGCCAGGAAAACATCCCCCACACCATTACACCACCACCACCAGCCTGCACAGTGGTAACAAGGCATGATGGTTCCATGTTCTCATTCTGTTTACGCCAAATTCTGACTCTAACATCTGAATGTCTCAACAGAAATCGAGACCAGGCAACATTTTTCCAGTCTTCAACTGTTCAATTTTGGTGAGCTCTTGCAAATTGTAGGCTCTTTTTCCTATTTGTAGTGGAGATGAGTGGTACCCGGTGGAGTCTTCTGCTGTTGTAGCCCATCCGCCTCAAGGTCGTGCGTGTTGTGGCTTCACAAATGCTTTGCTGCATACCTCGGTTGTAACGAGTGGTTATTTCAGTCACTGTTGCCCTTCTATCAGCTCGAACCAGTCTAGCCATTCTCCTCTGACCTCTGGCATCAACAAGGCATTTCCGCCCACAGAACTGCCGCTCACTGGATGTTTTTTCTTTTTCGGACCATTCTCTGTAAACCCTAGAGATGGTTGTGCGTGAAAATCCCAGTAGATTAGCAGTTTCTCAGACCAGCCCTTTTGGCACCAACAATCATGCCACGTTCAAAGTCACTCAAATCAACTTTCTTCCCCATACTGATGCTCGGTTTGAACTGCAGGAGATTGTCTTGACCATGTCTACATGCCTAAATGCACTGAGTTGCCGCCATGTGATTGGCTGCTTAGAAATTAAGTGTTAACGAGCAGTTGGACAGGTGTACCTAATAAAGTGGCCGGTGAGTGTATATATATACTGTATATATATACTGTATATATATATATATATATATATATATATATATATATATATATATATATATACAAATACATACATAAGTTGATAAGTTAATAATAGCTAATGATTATTTACATAAGGAAAATCTAAGGGTCTAAAAATGTATAAATAAATATTAAAACAGATAAAAAATTTAGGAAGGCACTTGATTATTTATTTGTATGAATTATTATGAGGGTGGTTTGTAAGTTGAAGAAAAGCCACTAATTAATTCAGAAAAAAATAAAAATATCTAAAATGTATAATAAATATTTTAATAAAAGAAAGTTATTACTATAAAAAGAAAATGAAATATTTTATTTGTTTACCTGCATGTCATATGACCTTTAATCAACATCAAAGAACTGTGAACATGCAAATGTGTTGTTAAATTGTTGAAATATAATCTTAAAGTCCCCCTAGTCAATAATTGTATCCCTTTTTATTTTTGATAATCACAATGATCTATGATCTAAATTATTTTAATGATCTAAAAAAAAAACGTTTAGTTTTTTTTTCTGTGAATTTTTTGTCATGCTTTAAAACTGCTTGAATGTAACTCTACACCCTTGCCTCATTAGTATACGCGGATCATGAATATGCAAATTAGTCCCGCCTCCACTCACTCGCACCAGCTCAGAGATTCACCCGCTCATCTGTAGTAAACGCTGCACGATGCAAGAGGAAATAGTGGTTTATTCCAGCCATACATGTTTAATTTGACTCATTCCCACAGATTTCCCGCCTCTCAGTACTAAATTCAGTTCTTTTTTGCTACTTATTGCACTTAAATACACACAAAACAAATGTTAAAATGGCGAGTATATACAGACGTAAACACAGTCAGTTATGTTTTAAGTGAATGTAAACAGTTGAGAAAGTAAACACATGTAACAGTATAATGGATCTGTGCGTCAGGTCTTAAAGTGACAGTAGCCTAATATACCCGCTGCCAAATTATGAGATAATGTTAAAAATATCTTTATGTCGGTTTTTCCCCCCATGTTACCCATGTCAAAATTGTGGCCAGTGAAAATGCTGAGTGGCTAGTAACTTTGTAAAACCACTAGCCACAGTGGCTGGTGAGCAAAAAGGTAATGTCACGCCCTGCTTACAATACATGTAAAAAGTCTGTGGATCCGTGTGAAAAAAACAAAAAAAACCCGAACCTCTCCAAGTACTCCTTAACGTTGTCGTGTCCGTAGAATTTGGCTAGCCTGGTGAGAGCCCCGGTGGCGCAGCGTCCGTCACGCTTCCTGCACAGACTGCAGTTACACACTCCTCGACAGATGGGACACTCCCACGTCTGCAGGAAACACAAGCTCATCATCATCATCATCGGCTCAGGCACGTCCAGTTTCATACTGCCGTTTTAATGTTTTCAAAACGGGTTAATTATTCCATAGTTTCATCATCTGTTACCAAGAGTTTTATCTAGAATTTTACATTTTATAAAGAAAGTCCATGCATAAATCTTCATTTGTAATAATTTAAGGGCGTTTTCACACCTGAAAGTCCGCACCAAGGTCTGACGTTCACGTTTTGATACATTTGATACTTTCAAAAAATGTTTTGGTTTGGTTTCACACTGCAATTACGCGAGCGCACTAAAGACCTTTACGTGACACACCCGCGTCCTGTCGTCATCATCTGTGTGGGCTGCATCTTCACATTGATTGGTTTGTAAATGGACGTGTGTGACGTCAGCGTGTCGTCAATTCGGCGGGTAACTTTGACAACATGAATGAACAGACGCATATCGTTGCAACTATATTGTTATTTTTATGGCATAATTACCTGCAGCACCAACTAGTTCAAATTCGCCAAATTAACGTCCTCGTCGCGCGAACATTTTATCGTCGCCGGCAGGAAAGGAGGTGAAGACTGCAAGTTGACTTCTTATGATGTCATCAGACCATACTTGAATTAAAAAACCTCGTCTCCTCCTCTCCGCATGTGCCACGGCTCATTTACCTTCTGTTTTTCCGGCTATGCGGGAACCACCGGAGCTTCCTGTAATGCCTGGTTCAGATTACACGATTTTTTGTGTCTGTTACGATAGTCACTGTGTCAGATTACGCGATTTTGACTGCTAAAATCTTGTCGTGGACAAGAAACATGTCAGACTACCCGTTGCTTCCTGACCAGTCATCGCGTGCCGTCTTTAACGACGCGCGTGATGTCATCGAGAACTAGTAGCGAGTGACTTCCGGAAACGAACGTAAACAAACAATGGATGAAGCGGTGAGTGTTGGCTGTCCTGTGTTCAGAAAAACGTAAAAAAAGAAAGAAAACTCGACAATGGACATGTTCCTGGATTGCTCGAAGAGGACAGTGTGGGCTGTCAATCCTCCAAAGAGAACTTGAGGTAAAATATTGTTTTCTGTTTCCTTTTAATAACCTTTCCACCATGTCATAACTCCACCTAGTAGCACAATCGTCTCTCTTTCGTTTCGCCATTTTTGAAAGTTGTGTCCGGAAAACCCTTCTGTGCTCCTATTGGTCAACCTCATACATGTGACGGAACCCGTCGTGGACGACCGTTAAAAAAATTAAACATGCTAGTCTTTTTGTCGTGATGTCATGAAGCATCGCAGACGCGACGTAGGTTGTCGCCCACTGTGACACTATACGAGATGATACGATCGAATCTTGCGTCCCGACGCCCGTTGTCGTTTACGAATCCCCACGACACCCTACGTCAAACGGATCGTGCCAAAATCGGCCTAAAATCGTGTAATCTGAACCAGGCATAAAAGGTCTGAAAGTCCGAACCATACAGAAATGCTTTCACACTAGAAACGAACCAACCCTTTGTTCAGTTTGATCCGGACCGAGACTAGCTCTTTTCGTCGGACCAAATTTCATCTGTTTGGTGCGGACCGTGGTGCGGGGGAGGTTTCACACCTGTCATTTTGATCCGGACCAAACTGAAAAGTCCGAAAGTCCGAACCAAACAAGGTAGGTGTGAAAGGGCCCTTAGTCAACAATCCCACTGGTTCAAAGGACTTACAGGATCCAGCAGAGCCGTGCGGACGTCTTCCCCGTAGCGGTTTCGTAAGCAGGGGCCGCAGAACTGACCTTTGACCCCCTGGCAGTACATGCCCCTGCATTCGGTCTTGGTGTCGAGGGTCTTCTGACGGCACTGGTGACATGTGCTCCCCTGAGAACGCACGCGTCACATTAATGCATCAAACACACACGTGACAGAGGAACAAGGCAACAGAGCTGCAACACTCACATTGTCTTTATCAAGGATTTTGTCTTTGGCGCGATCGGCCACGTTCTCCAGCTCTTCCTCGGTGATGTCATCCGGCATACGGATGGACTCGCGCGAGCGCCGCCGCTTCTTCTGCTTGGGCCGCGCGTCTCCGAGACCATCCTTCACCTGAAAACCAAACCAGCGTGCGCTCAATAAACAAGACAAAACTCAACGACAAACTGTGGGGGAATTTTACGGATTCAGGGAATCCCAATGCAACCAAAAATGCAAATAATATAATACAAAATACACAATTTATCTTCAATGTTTACCCTTAAAGGTTCTCTAAGCGATCCTGGGTTAAGTCACTTCTTGTTGACGTTCGAACTATTGTCAAACAAAACGGAGGCTAGCTAGACCCTCCCTCCTCCTCATCCGCACACTAACCCCCCAAACCACACCCCCAAACCCTTCTTGTCGGTTATTGGCTGGAACAGTTTGTTATGTTTTCGTGGTGCGGGTTGGCCCAGTTTGTTTTTGTTGCCGTTTGTGGAGCCTGGGGTGTCTACAGAGATCGCGTTTTTTTACAGTGTGTTCAGGGGACAGGCAGCCAGCGGATAGTGAGGAGATATTTGCTGTATGTGACAAAAAAAGTTTTGGCCTAAAAAACGTGTGACATCGCTTAGAGCACCTTTAATAAAATAAGATACTACATAATAGATTTAATAGAAGAAGTTCTATTAGTTTAAATTGCCCCTATTATGCTTTTTTAAAGGTTCCTAATGTTGTTTTGGAGTCTCTACGATAGGTTTACAGGCATCAAAGGTCAAAAACACTTTCATTTTCTTATAATATACACTGCAGCAGTCTCTCTACATCACGCATTTCTACTCTGCTCTGATTGGTCAGACCAGACGCCCAGTCTGTTGTGATTGGTCGACCAATTACAGTGTGTGTCAGAAACATTTCCATATCTGAGTCTGGATCTTCCTCAGCACTTGATACACAGTGATACGAACAGTAACGATGGCGTCGGTTTTTCCGCATCATTTCCAGCACGAGTCTCATGCTTTTGAAGAGCAGCAAAGTGGATTCCCAGCACAGAAAACAGCGTCTTCTCAACATGCCGACAACACGAACCAAACTCTTCCAGTCTCAGCTGCAACTACAGTGTTTGAGGGTCAAAGTAGACGTTGATCGCCGTCAGCCAATGAAGATCACAGGCTGGCATTATGCTAATGTGTCACACATGTAACAGGAAGTGAGACTGGAATTACTGACGACTGGTTTCATCGATTCAGAATCGACTCTTTCTTTAGGAGACGATACGTTTATTTGTCGTGCACTTTGATCTTTAAAACTTTGCAGATATTTAAAAGGTATACTCCACTTTTTTTGGAAATAGGCTCATTTTACAACTCCCCCAGAGTTAAACTGTTGAGTTTTACCGTTTTTGAATCCATTCAGCCGATCTCCGGTTCTGGCGGTACCACTTTTAGCATAGCTTAGCATACATCATTGAAGTGGACAAGACCATTAGCATTTCTAAAAAAAAAATGACCAAAGAGTTTCGATATATTTCCTATTTAAAACTTGACTTCTGTAGTTACATCGTGCACTAAGACCGACGGAAAATGTAAAGTTGTGATTTTCTAGGCTGATATGGCTAGGAACTAAACTCTCATTCCTGCGTAATAATCAAGAAACTTTACTCCCGTACCATGAGAGCAGCAGGCGTAATGATATGACGCAGTGCCTGAAAATAGGCCACCTTCCGTCAATAGAGCTGGGGAGTATTTTCAGGCGCTGCGTCATATCATTACGCCTGCTGCTCTCATGGTACGGGAGTAAAGTTTCTTGATTATTACGCAGGAATGAGAGTATAGTTCCTAGCCATATCAGCCTAGAAAATCACAACTTTACATTTTCCGTCGGTCTTAGTGCACGATGTAACTACAGAAGAGTCAAGTTTTAAATAGGAAAAATATCGAAACACTTTGGTGATTTTTGTTTGAGAAATGCTAATGGTCTTGTCCACTTCAGTGATGTATGCTAAGCTATGCTAAAAGTGGTACCGCCAGAACCGGAGATCGCCTGAATGGATTCAAAAACGGTAAAACTCAACTGTTTAACTCTGGGGGAGTTGTAAAATGAGCCTATTTCCAAAAAAAGTGGAGTATACCTTTAAATTCACTAACAGCTCTATTACACAGTGCATGAAAAGTAATATTCGAAAAAGCATAATGGGGCACTTTAAAAGAAAAACAAATATTATGATTGTTGGTGCTACACTATCACTACACTACATTTAGGGGAGTTTGATGAACTCAGTTCAGTGATGTGTGTGTGTGTTTCTCGCCTCCATCAGGCGCTTGATGTCGATTTGGAGGCTCTGTCTCTTCTGAGGAGCCGGTTTGTCCTCCGCCTCGATCCCAAAATGCTCCGGGGGTCTCGCCTTGCGGCCCGGGTTGCGTCGCTCGCTCTGAACCTCTGAAAACCGCCGCTTTGGGGTGGATGGCTTCTTTTTCTTCTATTTAGGGCATAGAAAATCCATCATAAAAAAAACACACATTTTGTAATCGCACTGGCAGAGAGAAAGCATGTTCTGTGCGGCCTGAGCTCTACGGACGTGTCGTGCAGGAGATCACGGGCTCTTACTGTAGGTGTGGCTTTCGAAGGAAGTTCAGGCAAAGAACTCAAGTCTGCAAAAAGTTTTGCAAGCTGCAAGAAAAGATTGTTTTTAAGTTAACTTAAGGTATTTAAAAAAATGTATACAAAAAGAAATTGCATTTATATAAACATTTAACTAAAAGAATTAAATATGTTGCTATTTTTTTAAAATAGTATTTATTTTAAATTAATTATAAATAAATATTATGCTACAATATATATATATATATATATATATATATATATATATATATAGTTTTGAATTAATATTACATATAAAACATTTTAAAACTGCAGAAGAATATACTTAAAATATGATTATATTAAATATTATGTTACAAATATATATATATAGAGAGAGAGAGAGAAAGAGAGAGAGAGTTTTGAATTAATATTACATATAAAACATTTTAAAACTGCAAAAGAATATACTTAAAATATTATTATATTAAATATTATGTTACAAATATAAATTATATATATATTAGGGCTGGGAAAAAATTAATCGTGATTAATCGCATCCAAAATAAAAGTTTTGTTTACATAAAATATGTGTGTGTAGTGTGTATAATTATTTTGTATATATAAATACACACACATGCATGTATATATTTAAGAAAAATGTGTTATTAATATAAAAAATATGTATATTTATATATAATATAAATGATGTATAAATATATATACAGTATATACATGCAAATAATTCTTAAATATATACATGCATGTGTGTGTATTTATATATACAAAATAATTATACACACTACACACACATATATTATGTAAACAAAACTTTTATTTTGGATGCGATTAATCACGATTAATTTTTTCCCAGCCCTAATATATATATATATATATATATATATATATATATATATATATATATATATATAATGTGTGTATATATATATATTGTGTGTATATATAAATGTATATATTTATGTGTATGTGTGTGTATATATATATATATATATATATATATATATATATATACACACACACACGTTTTGAATTAATATAATATTTAAAAAATATTAATTATACCATTGCTTTATTTTCCTGAATGTTTTTGGCCCTTTTGCTCAGGATCTGCATGTCTTCATCTGTCAGTAGACTCTCCACATTGGTCATGTCACCAGAGGGTTTTGATTGGCTCTCAGCACATAAAACAAGCTCTTTTGTTCGTTCCGCTTCACGCCGCTTCCTGTTTCCCCCTGAGGACTTCCTGCTGATGGGTGGGGTTGTGGGCGGGGCCTCTTTGTTCCCTTTTTTGGTCCTGTTCCGTTTAGGGGCGGGGCCTCTTTTGCCAGGAAACTTGAATGCAACACACAGTCCAGAGCTGCGCTTCTTTTTAGACGCCGGTTCCTCGCCGTCAGAATAAAAGCCGTTGTCGTCACTGTCTTCAACAGAGCTCTGACTCTGCATGTGAAATGATTTCGTTAGGATTATATCTGAATATTAATGTTTAAAAAAACAAGCAAATATTTAGGATTACCACTGGTTTTCTCCAATCACACTCTTCCCTGGAGAAACCCTGGAATTCCCCCTCGCTGTCCGTGTCCATGAAGGCCTGCGCCAGCTCATCCGAGATGTTTTTGGACCTGAAGCAAACATCCTGCGATGTGAGAGTGACACAGAACACATTATTATTCCTGGATTGTGCGAAAACCAACTCAATTATTAATAGAGCTGTTTTGCTGCTACTGCCAAATCATAAGATATAAACAGCAGGAAGGCAACCCACCATTTTCTCAAGTATTTTTATATTTCTAATACAGATGCTAAATGCAGATGAATGAGAATTTTATCTAAATCAGACGAGACGAGAACACACCTGATGTGACAGTCGCATTATCGGACATACAGGAGAAACCGTTGTGATTTCAAGGCACTGTTTGTGCGAGGTAAAGGAAAGGCTTCGAGTCTAACCCTCGGCTCTCCTCACAACAGATGGAGGGTGTCTTGAGACCCACCGCGGGTTATTGTCTTCTACTTGTGTGAATCACAACAACTCAATTCCCCAGACCATTTGCACAATCAAATCTTGGAAAACTAAGATCATCAGGGCGAGATAAGAACCAGGGTGCATATATTTGAAATGCATTGGTTTTCTAGCATTATGTTTTGTTCTAGACCAGTCCAGCATTGGGTTGATGTAGGGTTTAATTTCAGGGTTTGTGCCTCTGCAAACACCAGTGACCTGTTGCTGTCAGATTTGAGGCACACAAATACACTGGGCTACTTATGTATTTGCTGCAGATTTCATCAAGTTACAGCCATAATTGTTTAGGTATTGGGGTTTAATTTCAATTAGCAGATTCATTTGGAGTGTTTGACATCAACGAACAGAAAACTCTGTGCTTTTTTATTCCATTAGGAAAAATAAAATAAAGAAATGTTCTCCTAAAGCAAAAATCTCCCAGCAAATCAGTTACACAATTTTTGTAGAAGATACCTTCCAGGATCCCTTGGACTGGATGCTGTCTCTGCTGTCCTCCGACAGGTCCGTCACTTCCAGCTGCTTCGCCTGAAACAACAAGAATTACATAATGAAGAATAATCATATTATTATTATTATTATTATGCATAACAATACAGTCAAAGAAGAAAAAGAAAACGATTAATTATTGCTGTTAATTTTACAATATTATTAATAATAATAATAATAATAATGCATCAAATAAGAATGTAATCACTTTGATCATTATTATTCATATGATCTTTGGCCTTTATTATTATCATCATCATCATCATTCCAATTATTATTAAATTAACTTAATGCAGGCATCAAAAGATATTCATACATTTAAAATAAAGTAACAGTTAGACCATAAGCAATGTAAAGTCAGTTTTTTAGTGATCAGCGCATGCAAATCATAAACATCAACATCAGTTAAATCACAGTTTTTACTACATTTGCTGATGGTCTGATTAAGTTAATATGCATTATGTTTATGCTTTAAAACGATTATCATTGCTACTAACTTTCTGCATGTAGCGTTAGCTGTATCATATGTGTGCAGTGCAGTTACTCAACTTTTGTTATCGTCGCTGTTTGTCAATAAGATTAGGAGCACGTTTTTAAATGGGAAAAAAATCCTTCTCCCTCTTACCTTCAATGACGCTTTGCGGGTTCTGACCATTTTAAAAATTAAAGTGATTTTTCGTGCTTATCAGTGTGTTTGTGTGTATGTGTGTGTGTGTGTTTAAAACTCTTTAATGAATGAATGGTTTAAAAAACAACACGAGCGGAGAGGAGGCCGTGAGGAAACTGAGGGGAGACTGTGTCTTGAGTCCATCGCTAAAGATGCCAGCAGTTCACTTTGAAATCGATTAAGTGACAGAATATGTATTAGATAGTACATATATAGACATTTAATAGAGTTTATTAAACAAATAATTATCCGTTCTTAACGTCGATGTGAGCGTTAACTCTACCGCATCCCCCCGCGATCGCGCTTGGGTCCCGAATGGAACAGTCCAGAATGCGGCGCTTTGCAGTTTCGCGGGAAATGCCTCATGTGGACACACACATCACTCACACAATGCGTGTGTGCCGTGGGCTATGATGAATAAAACACATATAACGTTCATATTGCAACTATAACTGCAGCTAAAGAGGCCTTAAAAGATATTTTGGAGATATAAGTCTATTAAACATCGATCCAGAAAACTAGTCTGACTAGTATGGTATATCATTTCAATATATTATGGACGACCTATCAAATATGGAGTTGAATAGGAAGTGGCAGTTGGAGAAAAGCTTTGATAAATGTTATACATTTTATGTAGGAAAAATTACTGAAAACTTTCACAGAGATCAACAGAGCTATAGTGGTTTGACCAGTTTGTTTATCTCAGAGGAAAGAGCTTTAGGTTTGCACTCGGCTTTGTTGATAACAGAAAGATAGTCCAACTTGCAATGTTAAGGGCTTATATTTCACTACTGAATCTGATGGCCAAACAATTTGGGAACCTAGACACCCATTTACCCAATGCATTATGTTTTTAAAGTCCCCATGAAATCAAAAATGGACAGTACTTAACATATTGTGGTATTCATTGTATTTATCTGTTTCTTCTTTTTAAATGAATGTGTCTTCATAATCTTTAATCGAAATAACTTCTCTGATGACATGTTCACTGGCGCTAGGGCGGGACCACCTGTCACTCACATGAGATCCACCGATAAGTGACAAAGATCCAATCATCCAAACAAGTCCCTATGGACAAAATCAAGCCCCGCCATACTTGGTTCTAGTTCGAAAAGCCGTTTCACTCGGATATTTATTACAAAAGGGAAGAAAAGACTATCGAAACTTCCATGCATGTCAACTTTAACATGCCCAAAATGCCTTTTTTGCTTTTGGCTCACTAGCAGTTTGAGATGATGTCTGGGGATAAGCTCAGGTTTTGAGACATAAACCCAACACGCTGTCCAGGTTGGCACTGATGGCCAGAATGCTCTCTGGGTTTTCAATCTTTTAGATGCCATGGACCCCCAAATATGATCATCCTTATGCAAGGCAAAATGTTATATTTAAAAGGCAGCTATATATTTTCATGTATACATTTTTGGTTTCTATCAGTGTTGCAAGTTAGCTGTAATCAGATTACTTTTTTCAAGTAACTAAAGTAACGCCTTCCTTTTAAATGTATACATTTCAAATAAGTCATGCAAGTTACTTTGTTTTGCCATGTATTGACTGACAGCTCTTCATGTCTCCATGTGAAAGCGGGAGTAAGTGCAGAGGCGTTGTGTGCGCTGTGTGAACATGGATGTGAGCATGTATTTACTCATCTCACTTCAATATTCCTCAAAATGAATAAAAACAGTGAAATGCAAAATCAGAATATTCACAAACTTGCAATAATTAAAATAAATATAGGACCTACTTTATGTATTTAATCTCACTTTATTGACTAATGTATTTGCTGCTGACAGTTAATGATCCAATTAAACCAATAAGCAAAAATGACTTTAGTTAAACATCACATTTGTGTTTCTTTTATTATTATTATTCTTGCTGGGTGTAGAGCATCTTCTCAGGGTCCTATTCTTCTGCTATCCAGAATGGCAGCAGAGCTGAAAGGTTTGCTTGAGTGGCGCCCTCTACTGTACAGGTGTGAGTTTGCATTTCCTTCGGCCTGAGGATTATTCATTTCACTTTTGGTGTAGCCTTTACATTTGGCAAAAATAGAACTTGTGTGCATGTGTGTATGTTACTTTTAAAAGTAACTTTCCCCAACACTGGTTTCTGTTACATAACAGTATTATGCATTATACTCACTATAATGCTATACTGTTAGTTGCATTATTTATTTATTTAAATCTCTTTTTATTTAATAATTTGTTTTAAATCTATTTTTTTTATTTAGTTTTTAGTTATATATATTTTTATCATGCTTTTGGTTTGTATTTGCATCTCTTTTATCATGTGTAGGAGTGTGAAGGAAGCCGGTTTTCTGTTGTAAATGAATGAAATGATGAATAAAGTCGTTGGAAGCTAAGCCTCGTGTAATCCTGAGCGGTATTGTTGTATTTGACGTGTGATTGCTCTGGTTGGATGCGCGTGTCTCTTCGCCCACAGATAATGCACCACCCATCCATGTTTTCTGCTCAATTAGTAGCTAGTGAAGCGCTTTTTCTCGTTTGTCAGCACAAACACCTGCATCCGGAGACGTCCCCCATCAATACTGCTTTATTCCGCAAACCTTCACTTATGCGCTCAGCAAACGGGCGCGCGGATGACAGCGAAATGATACGGTACCGGCGCAATGTGCGCGGGAAATCACAGTGCGCGGGAAATCACAGTGCGCGCGGCCCACCCGCGCAGCGCGCCATTTCACAGCAGGTAGCGGCTCATAAAGAAGGAAAATTACCAACAGCTGGTTAAGCTTTGTTTAGCTGCTTTCTTTTGTGTTTTCAAGCACTTGACACACAAAGTCAAAGACAAACCAGTGGCTGTTTAACACACATCTTCTGCATGCGCGCGCGCGTTTAAGTAGGCCGAGAGACCGCAAATAATGAGCTTCTAGTGAGCTGCCTACCTAGACAGCTTTCTTTGGGCTGTGTCTCAAATTCAAGCTAGCTGTATTTTGGGCAAGCCAGGTTGCGCTGTGTATTATCACAGTGTGTCTTTTTGATTGTTCACTAGTAGCCTAATCACTAGCTGCACACTTTATCACTTGCGTTTTCATGATTCTAACTAAATTGATATTAGGTTTGTATATTTTAGGGCCATGAAAACGTTTTTTTTTTTTTTTTTAAAGCACAGAATTATAATTCAATGTAGAGACACCTAAGAAAGTAAACAAAAATGTATTAAAGATAAAAAAAAATCCAGAAA